TTTAGCGTTGAAGGCTTAGATTTCTATACGGCGATAGCAACTTTTATTTCAAAATCTTCTCCGTTATGTCTCTTTATCGTATGCGTGGTAGTGGGGCACTTGGTTTAACTTTAAATTTACCGACTTGGTGTTCCTTTATACGGATCCACAGTGGTCTACCAATTTCGTCAATGTATTTGTCATCGCATGTTTTACGAGAGATCAGATAAACTGTACCCGAACTCATGTAATCATCGTCTCTAACGTTAGAGTAATTTATTCAATTGCGGGTTTCTCTTAGACGGTCACACAAACGGTTATGAACTTGCCGACCTCTTAGAGTGTTCGGTAGTATTTCAGTCACTGCTGCCGAATTTTCTAGACCAGCCTCTTTAAGTAACATTCTAAAGTTTTGCTTTTTTTACCCTTGCTTTTTCATTGCTACAGCTTTTTATCAGTTTTCCTTCCAGATGTCAAAATTAATTGAGTCATATTTTATGGAACGTGCAGTAAAGTTCCGGAGACAATGGATTAAAGAAAGTGTTTCCAGGATCGACTTTCTATTAACCTCGGCATTGGATTACAAATCGTCGTCGATTTGGGTTGCCAACCATATGCGACTCTCAATAGCAGCTCTTCCTCAGTGCAAGACACGTAAAAACAGCTCTGAAGAAGGCGATGCTGCCCAAACGTCAGCTACGGTTGTGTTGTATGTGTGTCATTGAATGGTAGTAAACGTATGCTGTTTAACAACCTCGAGATTGCTGAGAAAGAAGACGACGAATTTAATGAAAGTGTAATTTAGTTCAGAACTGAAGACAACGATGGAACTGATTGATGACTTCACGAAACATTGAAGTCCTTCAATTAAGTCTTTTTCTAGAAACATTTCTGGATTACGTAAATAAGGGTGAATTGAAGCTTAATGCTGAGCTATTAATAATGAATTGGAGAAAAAATTGAGGTTAATAGATTCTTAGTTCAACATCGACGTATGCGGTTCATAACGACAGAAGTCCTGCACTTTACACATGGGGATCACCTCATAGAAGGTTTTAAAACCCGCTGATTAATGACTCATTAAAAGCAAAATCTATAATGATTCGAAAAATCACTGACAGCAAGAGGTGAAACATAAGGAGCTCGTGAGTGAGTTCAAAGTAAACTGCCAGAATAGAAAATAGCGAGGGCATTACTCTAATTACTTCGACAGTGCCCATCCTAATTTCAATGTCGACATTACGACTACATCGAGAGATTGAGCCAGCAACGAGATGAGTTTGAGAGCATCGTATCCCAGACTGAATGGTCTGATTTTGTGACCGGATCGGAGGGGTAACCATTACAATCCGTCAACGAGACGGGATAATGCTGAGCTGTGTGAAATACGCCCATACAAACTTGGATCCGCCACTCGACTATGTAAACACACTGGACATTCGCTATTAGCCGAGCGACGACCGGCCTGACAAGTACGCAAATACACACAAACTCACATCATGACAATGTGGTGGTTCCAAAAGAAGGCCTATGTCAATAACGTTGAAACTTGTCGTTTTAGGAGACCAGCCGTATTATACAGCAACTCCTTTACTTAACAACTACGCACCATTGTAGTGCAGCACTTACAGTGATGCCATGACTAGTGGAGCTATTTACTCAAACTAAATGTACGGCTCATTGTAGAACAAGGCTTAATAGAAAGTAATATACTATTTCTTAGACTAATTCAGTGTAAAAAAGGCTAGCCCTTTTTCGTACTATTTCTTTCTTAGCTTATCTTCTTTACATTCTAGAAACTACCGGTTGCAAAGATGAAGGTGTTGAAATGGTCTCGTATGGAAAGTGTTATAAAATAAAAACCCGAAAAAGCAAGTGATTATAGATCTAAGACAAAAAGAAAGCACAGAACAAGAAGAGAACAATGGCGAAGTAACTGGTTCTGTAAAGCCATAACAACTAGCTTTTTGGAGCTCGAAGGTGGCATTCGAAGAGAATTGACGGTTATTCGTTTCACTTAAAGAGTATATCGGCCTTGGAATCGAGTAGCTTATTCATAATAGTGCTTTTAACATTTTGAAGACAGTTGCTTTTTTTCCTAAGTACACAATATCTCCCAGAGTATAGATGACCCCTTCTTTTCCTAGTAGAATGTGAACGATGGTCGTCAATATGGTGAAACGAGTATGAAACATTCGCCGTCACCCTCCAATATTTTTTGACGACCTTCACAACACATCAGTTACTTTTGGTTGGATTCAAAGTGAACAATATGGGAACTGAACGACGACGATAAAGAGATTAATGTCTGTTGAGGCAACGGGGCCAAATCCGAGTCGTCAGAGCGCTCGTTTGCCCACCGCCCCGTCAACGAGGTCAAGAGAGCAGTCGGAAAATCGTGCAGTCAGGAAGCCTACGAGAACATTGTCTTATTTCATTTACTGTTTTTATGATAATGACAAGAAACTTTCGGGACGAATGAGGCTTTTTTCTTTACATGTTTAAAGGAAGATTCTCAGAAGTCTCACGCTAATCATCTTTGAACCGAACACCCGGATCGATTACAATGTTAACAACTGCAAAATTCAAAAACTTCAGAAAGAGAACAAAAAGCGGGGAAACTCGTCCTAAAACGCCAGTGCTGTGCACGTTGGGAGGACGTGCACGGTAGACTTCCATTCACGTAGAGAGAATGCCAATGGTTGGCTTCTCTTGAGTTCCAGTAGGTATTTCGGAAAAAGGGTATAGTAAATTGATAGTGTAGTATAAATCATCAATTAGATTCAAAAGTTAGCTTAGATTAGAGCCAAAATATGGCGTTTAACCTCCTGCCATTTTCCAAATATTACCCAGATATACGACCACAATCATGCTAAGATATTTGCAAAACTCCTGACCTCAGATGTCTGCGGTGGGGTACGAACGCGCTATTACCCTTTCCGGGGCTAACGCGTTCTCCACCACACCATGCGGGTCCCTCGTTTCGCCTGCCTCTCAGCTATTATCCGGAGAGTTCTTGAGCCGAAAGCGCACCACATACCTATGGCATCTTCAACAGACGAGTAAGGAGAGCATAAAGTCGGTCTAATAGCGAGCGCTTATTGCCACAGGGCACATGTGAGCTCAAGAGATGCGCTGTTCACCTTAATTGGTTTTATTGACAGGTTTTACATAAGTCTAACAACTCATACATGACCATACATAGAGTTTCGTACCTTCGTTTGGTCAAAAACCAGTAATCGAGTAGCAAGAAGCTATATGGAACACAGTTTGGAGTAGCTTCTAGCAAGAACACTTCACATCCACTACTAGAGAGCCCGACAAGTTACGAAAGAGCATGGTCAGTGCTTTCCAGCAATGCTGTGATATTTCCAGGAACAATAGAAATAATGGACTTTCTGTAAAAAGTGCAATTAGTTTCCGTCAGCGAGCCATAATAGAGACATAACTAGGATTCTGTCAAGCCATTCGATGACAAACAGGGCTGAAGATAAAAACATCATGCATGTTTGCTTTTTTCCGACAGTTCCGAACTTCCTAGTCGAAAATTACGGTCGTCGATTATCGTAATTGCGGTGTAGTTGAGAGTAGATTAATGCCGTGTTTGCCACCGGCCGTAATTGTTTGTCTGGACCGTTCACATTGAGCAGTTTTCCATTTTCACTGTCTCTTCAACACTTTTCTCCACTTTTCCAGTTAGAGGTGCTCTCCATATCAAACATGGTCTTTGGATCGATCTTGTGCACAAGACTAACCATACAAGGCACCCTTTCCTTTTCAAGAAATTGCCACCAGACTTGTCTGGGAGGATAGCAACACTGATTCTACACATCAGCAGGCTCTGTAAGTTATTCTGCAGACCAAATGTACATTCAATCACCTTAACTATACTTAGAGTAGTCGAATGTAGTTCGCATTCCTAGGAGACTGATCAAAGACAAACTCTTTATCATATTAAACTTTTGTATGTATGTATAAGTCTATCTAAGGGCGCGTGTGGTGCGGTAGTCGGAGGCGCCCTGCAACACACACGCGGAATCAATCCTGGCGCCCATGGCCCACCAAGCCTTCAATCTCTCCGAGGCCGGTAAATTGGTAATATACTTGTCTGAAAGGATAGCAGCCCTGGCTCGGTATATTGGTAGTCCACTGCGAGTCATTGTAAAGGCTAAATATGCATCCAATCACCTCCAAACGGTGCTTGATGAAGTCGAATGCATGGCGCATCCTTCAGGGATTGATCAACAACGAGGGCTTTATTATTTATTTATTTATGCGTGTAGCTACGTATCTAGGCATATGCACATGTATATATATAAGCATACGCGTGTGCAATAGGAGAAGCATTTGCTGCATTAAATTCATTAAAATGCACATGATTTATTAGCAACGGCTGCTGAACGCAGAAATGAAATAATAAACAACAGGTTCTCGCTTAGTGCTAGTAAAGGCGATCATAAACTTCTGACAAACATCACAACCGAGATAAGTAAGTTCTGAACAGATGTGTTTTTCAACACTACTAGTCTCCGTTCCTTTCCACTAAAACGTTGAACATTCTGAAACTGTGTCACATGTGAAAAAAAGAAGAAAGGGGGAGAGAAGGGAAAGTGCAAAGGAGCGACTACTCCCGACCAGCCTCGCTGGAACGCTGTTGATTACAACTCAAAGAAAACAGTGTGGTTTTCGGATAACTGACTGAGAATTGTGTTTTTCATCGTTCATTAGTATCGGTCAACTACACAAGGAAATTGCTACAGCGAGAGCAATGGCTGTAGCGATTTTCTTGTGTAGTTGACAGATACCAATGAACGACCGTAGGAAGAGTTGCAGGAGCCAGACAGCAAATATCTCTCCTATTCATAAGGACCTCATAGTGTGTCTTAGCGCTACTTTTTCGCTCCAGGAAAAGAAATGCAGCTCCATTCAGCACTAAATTGAGGATGTTCCAGTTTTTTTTTCGTAAACTCGTACGGCATACGAAGCGCCAGAATTGAATTCTGAGGGTGAATGAAGGGAGAATGCGATATGATGATAATGATGATGTTGATGATGGTGATGATGATGATGATGATGATGATGATGATGATGATGATGATGATGAAGGTCACTCACGAGCGATTTTACTGCGAATTTGACTGATGACGTTCAATTATTTCACAATGTGCTGTCGATAATTATGCGATTCGTATCGGCCGTATTAAAATGCATGGCGCCAGCACCACACAAGCTCCACACCATCAACAATGAACGGTGCCGGTTCAAAAGGTCATTAGAATACCGCAATCCTACTAGTGGGTACACCAATCACTAGTAGGGTTCGATTGGTTAGGGCCGAAGCAGTATTGCCGTTCTAGTTAGAATAACTGAAAAACCTTATCAAGTTGAAAATTTAACTCGTGAACACGAAGCAAACTCTACTGGGAAACAGCACCCGATTTTGAACATCAACTATAAAGTGGCATAACTTGAGTCAAGCACAATATTGAAAACTAAGAGTGGTCGAGATGTACACATCCTTGCCATTAAGAAACCTGAATTTTTCGAAGCAAGGCATTATTTGGTGCATCTGGGTTTGTTATTGAGTTCGTGGAAGATTTTATCAGCTGCTAATCGGCGAAGCGTAAGAAAAAAAATAGTTGATTATCGGGGTGCCTGATAGATACGGTGGATGGGGATGGAAGCTCTAGGACTACGTAAAGTTAGCGACAATACTTTCGGCTCAATGATTCCCGCTGCCTTAATGCATGCGTCAGAAACCTGGTCGCTACGTTAGCAGAGTGAAAGATCACTCAGAGTTATGAAAGGCGCAGGCGAAAGGATGATGCTAAAAGTATTCCGTATCACACAAGTGAGACATAGTATTCGAAGCTCCAACCTACGTCAATTATCAAAAATCAAAGGCGCCATTCTACACACCAAATTGCCAAAGATAGAGTGGAGTGAGCACGTAGTGCGTATGAACGAAAACCGATGGACGAAAGCAGTTGGTGGTTAGATTCCTCGGGATGTCAAACCTGGAGAGGGAAGACCATCAATTGTACGATCAGATATAATGTTGAGATATTTGCAAAACTCCGGACCGCAGGTGTATGCGGTGCGGAACGAGCGCGCTACTGTCCTTACCGAGGAGTAGCGCACTTCAACACCACACCATCCGGGTCCTTCGTTTTGCCTGTCTCTCAGCTAGTTCTATTGATCTTTTGCCATCAGCACCTGCGGTCCGGAGTTTTGCAAATATCTCAGCATTATATACGAGTTATATTTCGCAACATACTCTGCCATTAAAAAGGAAAAGGCAGTAAATAAAAGGGTTAAGATGTATGATCAGAGTTCTTCACGAAGATTTTAGAAGAAAGATATTATGTTCAGGTAGTCCCTAAAGCAGCAGAACCTACTGGGCTACTTTTGGGCGCGGCAGTGAGAACTGCATGATGTGCTGGCGCTGGCTCGAGGCAATCGAAGATCAGTGGGACGACAGATGATACAGGTGATAAAAATCGAATATGAACTGATAGTAAAAGTCATACACCGCCTAACCTTGTAACACATAGTGCTACCACATTTAACCATGTATAAGAATAGAAAGGTTGTCCAATTTTGTTACATTTTATTCTAGCGCTGATGTAATGGTTTTAGGTCTTTATTTCAAGCGAATGGTGTTTATAAGGATAGCTCGAACGTGATTTTTTGTCTTTTTTGTTAACTTAACTACGAGGCTAAAAATAGCGCGTGCATACACATACCGTCCAATTAGAGAGATTTCTTTCACTCTAAAAGTTTAATCCATGAGAAGGTTTGACAGAACGTCGGGTTTTTCGGAGAATTAGCAACGTTTCAGAGGCTCTAAACCGAGTGTGAAAGAAGGTGGCGCTTAGAAAACGACTAGATTGGAATCTCATTTCTCTCGTTTCTTTCATTAGTGGGAAGCTACACTGAATTTCGTATTAACCTGACGTTAAAACAGTAATTGAAAACGTTTTCTAGGCTTAAGTCTGAGCATAGGTATAAGTTTATAAATGATAAAGGATAAAGCTCTCGGCATTGATCAATCCCTGAGGGATGTGCCATGCATTCGACTTCATTAAGCATCGTTGGAGGTGATCAAATGCATATCTGGCCTTTAGAATTACTCGCGGTGGTCTACCGATGCATCGAGCCAGCGGTGCTATCCTCCCTGACAAGTCTGGTACCAATTTGCCGACTTCGGAGGGGTGGAAGGCTTGTTGGGCTACGGGCGCGGGATCGGTTCCATGTGTGTGTTGCAGGGCTCCTCCGACCACTACACCACACGCGCGCGCCCTAGCATAAGTGCAAGAATGCCAGAATTCCACGGAAATAAAACATGTTCAAAATTTAAAAGTACTAAACACTTAATGGAGGAAGCAGTAAAATTAGGTTTCATATCAGAATCATAAGTCTTGGTGGGAGGGAGCACTAAGCTCGAATCCAAAAAAGATTTGGAAAAAATATTTCGGTTTCCTGAACAAAAAAAAAACACAGAAGGTAGAAAAATGAAAAGAAGGATGCTCAGCATTTCAAAATTCAATGTAGAAAGGAAGAAACAAACTACATAACGAGGAAGTTCATAAGAGAAAATTTCAAATTCAATTCTTGTTCGCTCGGTAGACCCAATTCTGCTAACATGGCACGGCTTTCGGAGGTAAGTGTTTAAAAACTTTACCCATTTAAAGCGGAATAGAGGGTCAAAGAGAGCAGGAGAATACTTGATTTATTGGCAAGATCAATTTCCAGCTTTCCTTCTGAACGACGCATTGCATTCTCTGTGATCACTGTGTAGCTAGTTACCAACGCTAGTTATAGGGTCATATCGATTTCTTGTGCTTCCTTTCATTGGTTTGATATTTCTTTTGAGCTAATCTTCAGGTGGATCCATTGAAAATCCCTCTCCAGCACCTTTGTTGAATGACCCTCCGCAATCTTTGTGGTCATTGTATGGCTGGTTACCAAAGTTAGTTACAGAACTTCTATAATGCTGAGATATTTGCAAAAGTCCTGACCGCAGGTGTCTGCGGTGGGGAACGAACGCGCTATTACGCTTTCCGAGTGCTAACGTGTTCTGCACCACACCATGCTGGTCCTTCGTTTCGCTTGTCTCTCAGCTGATAGCAAAAAGATCGATAGAACTAGCTGAGAGACAGGCGAAACGAAGGACCCGCATGGTGTGGCGGTGAACGCGTTACTCCCCGGAAAGGACAATAGCGCGTTCGTTCCCCACCGCAGACAGCTGCGGTCCGGAGTTCTTCAAATGCCTCAGCATTATAGAAGTTATATTTCGCAACATACCCTGCAGTTAAAAAGAATAGGCAGTAAATAAAAAGGTTAAGCTAGTTATAGAGTCAAATCGGTATATTGTGCTCCATTGCACTGCTTTACCACTTTTTTTTCTAGTTGATCTTTAGGTCGATTCATTGAGAATCTCTCTCCAGCATCTCTGTTGAATGACCCTATTCAATCTCTGTGATCGTTCTGTTGTTGGTTACCAAAGCTAGTTATAAGGTCATATCTTCTTCTTCATTATTCTTCTTATCACATTATTCTCCTCCCAACGGTTTACCGCCTCATCGCGGATGGGATGTGTTCCCGGCTGCCGGACTACGATGTACAGAGGGGGGATTCGTCCCCCCGGCAGGGTCTCCCAAGCCGTGGAATCCGGCCTTTCCATCAGGAAGCCTAGCTAAGAGTAAACCAGTACCAGGATCCACCACCGTCCGGGTACCAGACTAGTCGCATGATGGCAAATTTCCCTTTAATCCACAACGGATGCGACTGCCTGTCGTGGTGACGACCTGGGGCAGACTTTGGCCAGGCTGTCGTCGGGATTCCAGGGAACCACAATGGCTTAACCAGTAAATCTCCGAAAAGTGGTGATTATGCTGGGGCCCTCACAACTAGTGATGACGGTCCGTTCAAGTATCAAGTAAGCATTTACCACACTATTCTTCTTCCTCATCATATAGACTTCGTGATTATTGTTTGGCTCATTGTTAGAGCGACAGTAACGGAATCATATCTTTTTACTTTGCGTTTTTCCCAAAGTCCGCCAAATCTTTTAATACTGTTGCAACGCCTAAACTCGGGTTTGTTACACATGGAAAGGCAGCAAACATCTCCCCTTAAAGGAAACGGCTTTTTTTAAAATTAGCCAGTAATTTTTGATAACTAAAGGATTTTTGGGTAAGAATATAAATGGACTTTATTAAAGACTTTGCTTTATCGTTCTATGCCTATATGAGGGATATTTAAGGTGCTGCTTACTATACGTCCGTCGTGGTGGCCCATCAGACAAACACATTACTCTCAGCATTAGGAATTTCCGTGCGACTTAAAAAGGTGCGCGTGTGGCGCAATAGTCGGAGGCGCCCGGCAACACGCACGTGGAATCGATCACCGCGCCCACGGCCCGCCAAGCCTTCCATCCCTCCGGGGTCGGAAAATTGGTACCAAACTTGTATGGGAGCAAAACAGCACTGGCTCGGTAAATCGGTAGGCCACCGCCAGTTATTCTAAGGGCCAGATATGTATTCAGTTACTTGCAAACGATCCTTAATGAGGTCGAATGCATGGCGCATCCCTGAAGGATTGATCAACGCAGAGAGCTTTTTCCTTTATGCTTTATGCGCCTTACGTATCTCTATTTCGGTATTTTTTATATCTGTGGCTTTGTTTGATAGCTATTATCCACTCTAGCGATTCGAGCTGAAATCGTAGTCGATAGCTTCCAAATTTCTGGTTAGGGAACTTGTCGTGGTACGACATTTTCTATATTTCTAAGAGCGGAATAGAACTTTTTCCGCCCACTACGCAACACAACACCTTTATTCTACATGGTATTAAGTGGTACCAAAGAGTGGAGCAAAACAGTTCAATGTATTAAAATAAACTACCGGAAAGAAAATGCAACCTTTGGGTGTCATACAGAGCACTTCTGCACCATTACGACACCTACTTTTCCTTTATGCTTTATGCGACTGCTTCATGCGACTTACGTGTCTCTATTTCTCGCCAGTGTCAGATTCAACTTCATGACTATCTATTTCCTGGTCTATGGAACCCTTCAGAGATAATTTATTTTCAAAGGAAACTGTGTTTCATGGTGCTTTAATTTGTCTGATGCTGTTTGCTGTTCGTTTTGGTGAAAAAAAAATTCGTTTTGAAAAAAAGAGTTTTAGGCGAATTGTTGCTTTATGACATTTTATATCTTTTTGTAATTATTAAATCTCCAACTTATTAAATGAGATATTTATCTTTATTAGTACAAGTGCTGATATTTCTGAGCAATGAAGCCTTTCGGAGCCTTACGTCCTGAAAGGCCTATTGAAGATGATCTCAGCTCTGAGGATAAGGGCAATTTTTCTAAAATTTTTATACATATTGATTCGGTTTAATTCCAATTCGGAAGAAGTTGAAATGAGTCTTATAATTCTAATATTTTAATGAAAGCGCTGCAGTAGCAAGCGTGCCCTATGCATTGAGTAAACTATCTTGCTCTGCTAGAAGAAATCAGAATCCTTCATCCCCTATATGTCGCAAAGATTTCTGAATATGGTGGATGCACAATAAAAAGAATTGTTCTTCTAGCATAGATTATTAAATTCTTGTATTTTTTAATTCGTTCAACGTGAGCTGTACCATGGATTCAATTTTGGCGGCGCAATTATCTTCGGTCGCGTCTGCATTGAACACAATGCATACTGTCGTCAATATGACTTCCCCGACCTTCTCGCTGAGGGTTATTTTGATTGTCGGAAAAAAATGATAAAGTAGAGGCTAGAAACCGGAAGTTATACACCATCTTAAACAAAGTGCAAATTGTTCCCTGCAAATTTTAAGTAGCAATTCTCACGAACACGGTGCTAGTTCAATTCCTGCCCGGAAACACGAAGCCCCTCATCCCTCCTAGGTTTGAAAATTGGTATCGCTCTTTTCCAGGAACGAATCACTATCTGCAATCCACATTTGAAAGCTCAGCTCGGTTATCTCAGGACTCCAGAGAAATTCTCGGGATCGGCTATCTCACTCGACCAGCATTATACGCCATTCATGATAAATTGAAAATTCCCAAGCAGCAGCCGAAGTCACATGCAAAAGTTAGAAGGCCTTCGTGGACGACGGATGAGATGAAACAAATCGAACATAGAAAATGCTGCAACCTACATGGTAGAGGTAAAGACAGTTCTTATAAAATAAAATTTTAAAAAATTATTACCAGGTAATGTCACACGTGTGAAGTGCACTGATGGAGGTGTCGCTCATTGATACACACAAGGTCCATTTTTCAAAGTCGCACCAGTACCATCCCAGCCTTTGATCCCCACAACATGGGAAAATTGTTGCTAAACTTCTCTGTGAAGACCTTATTCTGAATCGCAAAGTTTAGTAATTACTTGTGGTGAAGATCTGGGAACGTCCATGCATAGCTATGCCTGGATTCTGGGAAGAATCTCCTCCACCACGTCCAGCCCACGCCGATGCTACACAGCAAATTCGACGATCTTCGTGGATGGTGGATACAATAATACGAATAAAATGAAAGAACGGTTGCGATCCGAAAAAGGCGTCATCCTGTAACAAGTAAATAAATAAAAATAATCACTAGTTTATAACGAACTTATAAGCCTAGTAGTTCCGTCTTACTTTGATACTTGGATACTTGGTTCTCCCGTCTTCACAGATTGTGCGGCGCCCAAAATAATTTCCATTTTTCCGAGTTCTACTTGTTTAGCTATTATGGTTCCCTGGAATTCCGAGGTCAGCCTAGCCAAATTCTGTACCAAGTCGTCACTGCCCCTGTGGTTTAGATAGAGGTTTCCCACCATCTGATTAGTTTGATATTAGGACGGTAGATCCTTACATTAGTTTGCTCCTAGCTTGGCTTCTCAATGGAAAGCTGGACTCTTTTTCAGCTTGCGAGACGCTTCTGGTGAGATGAATCACCGCGCCCTATATCGCAGCCCGAAAACCAAGAACACCTCCCAGCCACCATGAGGCTGTAAACCGTTAGGAGGCAGTTCCGTCTTAGTTAAAAAATAGTTGAGTGCAAAAACCACTGAGTGAGAATAATTTTTGATATTTTTATAAATTTTGAATACGCTGTTCTGCAACGAGGATCTTATGGATCAACCACTCACGGCAGACATGTTTTGAAGCGGTTAGACTTTACTGAAGAACATAAATCATTCGGCAGCGTTCGCCGCGAGGCGAGTTCAGTTGATTTTCTCGATACTCCATTCCATTGCCGTCTACAGTTAGTGCAGCATGGTAAACTCGAAGATCATGATGAGAGTCACCTAGAGATCGGTCTTTGCACCGCATGTTAGTTCAAGGTGATATGTTTACAAGTGTCACCACAAGAATCACTCAGAAGCTTAACCTCAAATCACTCTCCACTTGAGGATGACTAATTAAAAGTCACCGAGTTGAAAACTATGCAGGAACTGCACGCACTATCGCCCTCTATTTCACAGAATAAAAGAAAGGGTTCAGAATTGATGCTTTCGCAACTCCCATGACCAACTTTCTATTAACTTCGGTATTCATCGAGCAATTCTTTACAGTTTTGTTTAGCAAACCTGAGGTGTTATTTTATTTCTTTGTTTACGCACAAGCTGACGTTTCAGGGCATTTCGCCTTTCCGAGAGCTTGGAAACGTTAAGTTGACCACGTTCTACCTAGTCAAACACTTCCATAAACAAACAGAGAAAACCCAACCGGCCAATGATTTTTCATCTTCGTTATGGAGGTGTTTGGTTGGGTAGATTGCGGTCAACTTGACCTTTCCAAGCTCTGAAGAAGGCGAAATTCGTCGGAACGTCAGCTTCTGCACAAATGAAAAATAAAACAAATCGTTTTTGCTAAGCGAGAATATAAAGAATTGTTGCTTTTGTGATGCGCCATATATTTGACATCATTAAGTGTCGTTAAAGTGACTGAATACATAGTTGACCTATAAAATAAAATTGCAATGGACTAGCTAGCAATGCACCAAATTAAGTGGCTTTTTGGTCTCATAGATAGCTCTGGTAACAGTTCTGTGACTCTGGAAAAAGGCGGACGACTCGGTTTACCCAGAGCGCTGAAGGAAGTAGCTAGCGCAGGATGCTCGTTCGTACTACAGACCAAGTGTGTTTCACTTGGCACTAGTAATCATTTCTCTACACGCGTTCCATCCTATTTGAATCCACTAGTTTTGATTACCAGTTCTTTGGCTACTATAAATTTCGTTGTCGTCCAATGTGATATTAATTTCATGAGAACCATAGCTAGCTGGATTACATGGGCAAAAACCAATGCATGATGGGTTTGTATTCCAACCCCGTTATCGTCGGCGTTTTATGAATCGATCAAGAAAATAAAACTAAAACGTTGATGACTTCTAGTCAACCAAAGGAAGGCGAAATAAAAGCTTTGTAGGTTACGTTGAAAAACAAGTGGTTAAAGGTTTTTAACATGTTTGTTCATGGATCTTTTTGAGACTTGAGCAGATTGTAGAGACCCCTTATACTTGAGTAGGAAAAACACCACTGTAACCACGAAGTTATCTAAATAACAACAAGCCTTTAGAGATCGGAAGTCCGTGGCTGTAATTAAAGCTCTAAAGCTCTGCAGTATTTAGCTCTAAAGTATTTATTGCTGCAGCAAATTTCTTTCGCATCACCTCAAAGCTCCTATGGAGATCGGCAATATGGATATCATAAGTGTGGTGATTGAATGTCCCTGCAACCATAAAAATGTTACCGTACTCTTTTCTCTGTTGTAAAAAATGGATTGTTTAGAAAAGTTCTAAGGCTATGTGTTTATAAAGGGCAACTATTAATTGCAAAACATTTCATTAACTCACAGCTTTCTGGAATTTTCATTACGTACTCATGATGTAGTTATTACTTTGCTGCAGCAGTAGGTTCGTATGCAAGTGATCTTTTGACGGTTATGTGAGCCATTATGACCCACGTAGCGACTGTCTCATATTGAGGCAATTTTTTACATCACCCTATATCATATGAAGTTGGAGTCCCAGCATTTTTATTCGATTCATTTCCTCGCTTATGTCAACTGCAAACGTCTTCGGGTTTGCCTATGGGTCTGGCTTCTGCTTCACAATATTTGTCTCCCTTTATGAAAGCCCCCTGAATGCTAGTCGAGTCGGTTTTACTGGGAATTTTGAAATGTCCATTCTAGAGCTTTCCGAGACTCCATCAAGGATCCACCAGCTTTTGTGGATCGGAGGAAGCTCTTCAAGATAGTCTGGTACCAATTCCACGGGCGATAGGAAAAAAGGCTTGTTTGGCCCAGGTCATTGTGCAATCAGAGACCATGCGCTGGTCGTAACGTAACTTTGAGTGTTACGCTTACCACACCGGCGGCGAAAATAATGTGTGCATAATATCAAATGATCACTGCGTCGGTATGTAAAAGAAAATACATGCCTATAGCTATGTTAAATGGAAACAACCTTATTTTTCGAATCTACCACTGTCCGCAGTAACTAGTAAACAATAGGCAGATAGCACAGTGGTAGGGATGCCGATCGTATCCAACACGGTGGCGGTTCGATCTGACCCCAGGCTCATGAAGCCCTGCATTTCTCCGGGGTCATAAAATTGATACCGGACTTGTCCGAAAAAATAGTTGGAAGATCTTCGTCGATGGTGGATGCGAGGTCGAATCGAATATGAGAAGCGCAAAGCAGACGTGAAGACATTGTATAAAACCAAAACTGGTAACTTATGTCGAAATAGTGTCGGAAAAGTGACAAAACCATGATTAATGGAACAAGAGCCGCCTTACGTATGCCTTCAATGATCCTATTCTGCTCTTATTTCTTGACTGTTTACCTCTATATTGTTTTCCTAGGTCTTGTACTAATTCACTGTTTTCTTGATTAGCTCACATAAGGCTGTTATTACATAGCCAAAAGAATAGAGCTTTCGGGGTTGATCAGTCCCTGAAGGATGCGCCATGCATTCGACTTCGTTAAAAATCGTTAGAGCTCATTATATGCATATCAAGCTTATAAAATGACTCTCAGTGTCTTAACGATATATCAAGTCAATATCAAGCCAATGCTGCTATCATCCCAAATATGTCTGGTACCAGTTTGCCGACCGTGGAAGGATAGAAAGCTTGGTGAGGCTGTATCACGGGAATGAACCCATGTAAATTGCAAGGCTTCACTAACCACTGCGCTACATGCACCTCGTTGTTATTATACACTATTTGTTCACAACAACTAAAGCCTGTAAAGGTCAACTTAATTGCAATCTGATCACCCAAGCATTAGTTGTCAACACCGATTCAATAGAATTACTCTTTTGAATTACTCGTCGTAAGTTCACTATAGAACGTAACAAAACAGATCGTACGATGACTAGCACCTTGCATAGTACGTCGACGGTCTCGCCGTCGTCGTCGAGGACGTCTTTGTTGCGGTGTGAAGGAATTCTCGTCCCATCCCATCATCGTCATCGGTCTGCGTTTCAAGTTCTGCACCACCGTCGATATAACCTTGCCTAAGAGAGTTTAGCGAGCGGTAATTGAGTGAGAATCTTGGTTGCAATTGTGTGTCGAATGCAATGAGTGACAGTTTATGGTCGTCATTGTAGCAGTACTTCTCAAGTAATTACGCAACTAATCGACTTCACCGAGTATTTTACGAATTCGATGTTGGAATTCTTCAACAATGGCAAAGATTATAATCAGCACTAGACAAGAATGACGCAATTCGTGCTCGCGAGATCTCTTCCATTGAATGCCCAAAATTCAGAGATGTGATATCCGTCCAATAAAATGATCAGGATGAAATCGTTGCTTCAGAAATTCTGGGATAAATACAGTTACATACGGTTTTTCTTCCATTTCTCTTTATTAACTCTTTCCCGACGACCTAACCTCTATAGAAGTTATTGAGAGCGGAAATGAAGGCAGATTTCAAATTCGAACCAATGCATTTTAACCCATTGTGATTTTTACCGTTCGTTGGAAGAACTGATAGATTTTACAAGTGCTTGCCTATAGGATAAAAGTTTTTGCGTCTTATTAAGACAACGTTCTGATTTTCTGGAGTTTTCCACACTTATTTCTTCCAATTTTTGGGTTTAAGGCTCAACTTCTGACCACGAAAGCAAACGAAAAAGCGGAATTTTGTACCGATATTACCATTATTCAACAAAATAATGTTGAGATATCTGTAAAACATTGATCGATAGAAAACTATCAGAGAGACAGACGAAACGAAGGACCCGTATGGTGCAATCGTGAACGCGTTACTCCCCGGAAAGGATAATAGCGCGTTCGTTCTCTACCGCAGACACCTGCGGTCTGGTCTTTTGCAAATATCTCAGTATCATTGTGATCGTATCACACGTAGTGCACGGCCGTGAAAAACTGTAGTAGGTAGTAAATAAAAAGGTAAAATATTACTATGATTTCTAATGTATAGTTTCCGTTTGCAAGTGCCGCTCTTTTGCTGAAATTTTTAAAAACTAAAATTGCTTCACCATTTTTTTTTGAACGAGTCTGTTCCAAACATATTTAGATTTGAAAGCGCATGTCATAGCTGTTACGCATGTGGTTAGTGGTATAAAGTAAAATCTCTTCCATAAATTTATAAAGTTCTGAACTCCTGAGACACTCTATCGATCGAGAAATCAGCATTTCCACAAATGTGTTAAAATCCAACTTTTCAATCAAATTTCCAGAACAAAAACAAAGCAGCGCTTTCAATCACCAAACTTTTAGTTGCTTCCTAATGCTTCGAATATTCTAGCATTTTGCAATTTTTCGAAATTTTTCTGACCCTTCAGATCGTATAAGGAATGACGGTTTTAGGAGAGACGTTCGGCTTTGCCCACAACGTGGCTTCTCGTCGGCGGAAACTGATGAGGACCGATATGGAGTTGCTGGATGTGGGATCGTCGTCTGGATGAGAGCTCTGAAACGTCGCACCTTAGCCGACTTGAGCCTCGGTCGTCCATGCTAATCGCTGCTATCGCCTAATTATGGGTGATCAACTGATCGTTAATCTTTTGCCGATGATGGTAAAATACAGTAATTTTTGAGGTCAACTATTACATGAACAATAGAATCGCTGGAGAGATAATGATTATAGCAGTGTAGTATGATCCGTGTCACTGAGCGGAGACCTCTGGGAAGAACTAGATGACCGATACAGACGGATGGAGACGATAAAATCACTCAGTGATTATTGGAGTTATTGTAGACTGGGATGCGGGTGGTGATCAACTACTTACCTGGATATTTGGACGGCCCGCCCTCACTGGTTGTGAGGACTCCACCACACTCTTCATCCCTCGGAGTTTTGCTGGTTTAGAGACTGTGTTTCATTGGAGTCCCGAGGTCAGCCTCTCCAAAGCGTGCCCCAGGCCGTCACCACGACAGGCAGTCGCCGCATTTGTGGATCAGATGGAGATTTGCCATCTTGTGACTAGTTTGATACTAGGACGGTGGTAGGTCCTGCTATCGGTTCACTCTTAAATGGGCTTCCTGGTGAAAGCGCCGCACTCCTCAGCTTCTCAGCTTGGGATGAATTCCCCCGCTGTACATCGCAGCCCGACACCCAGAAATACCTCCTAACCACGATGAGGTGGTGAACCGTTGGGAAGGGTGGTCAATTATTGATGGACGCCAGCGATTGATAGTCAAACAGCGTAAGGATTTCAGGCCACGTGAGAAGATACGAAACCATATATTACCGTTGCTAGTGATCGATGTCGTGGAACTCGTAATGTGCTTGGTAAAGGCTGGCGAGAGTCAAATCATTCTGAAAGATTCATTCTCTACTCGAGTTTATTCCATTCATTGTCATTCTTACCAGTGTGGGGACAAGTTTTCCTGCACTCAGTATCCTAGCAGAGCTTGTACTGTAACCGAAAGTTAGGAGATGTTTTGCTGTGTCGCATTCCTGCTGGTTGACACTCCTACGCCACAACTTTCTCTCCTTGGTTACCGTAACATACATAGAAATGAACCTTATATTACCGGCAAATACCGAACTGCGTAGGATCAGCTTAAATTACAATTAGTTCTATTTCCTACTCTTCTGTACTTCTTTCGGAATAACCTTAAGGCTGTTAGGTAATGTCACTCAAAATCAAAAATGGTAATAGTTGAATAAAATGCTGGTTTGACTCTTTTATAAGTGTTGAAAAACTAAAAGAACCCATTTATGTAAGAAGCTGATATGAGTGACAAGAACATTTAGGACTATTCTTACTGCTGTGTCCCAAGAACATTCAGGTTCATTCTGCTGCAGCAAGAGATTAAAATAATGGTGATCCGTTCAAATCTCAAGCAAATAACAAACTTTAAAGGATTCGTGGACTAGGTGAATGAAGATGTCATCATCAGCCAGTCGACGACACCCGGTTCGTTCATCCATCATCGTAGCACACGGCGACGAATCACCAGCGAACGACTTCAAAGAATCGAAGACGACGACGATGCAACAATCACACATTCTCCGTCTCCGGTCATAAATTTACATTTTCAAGAAGCCGCATCATTTATCACATTGCCTCCGAGCACGACAACTGGTCGTTTTGCGAGCGGAGCAACTCGAGACGAAGTTTTATCGTCGTTTGAACGACACTCGTTGGTCGACCGAATTGGTTAAAATGATTAAAATAAGAGCTTTGACGCTATTAAAAAGCAGATTTTCATTAAAGATGTTTATTTTTTAAAACGATGACAATTTTTTAATTTTATTTTTTCTTTGATAACTGAAGTTTCCAGGAAAATTAAGCTCTTCTCAAACATTAGTTCACCTCCTACCACTTTAGAACTACATGTAGTCATCCCAAAAATTGTAAATAATTGAAAAATATTTAATCAATATTATCAAATATTTAATCAATATTTTTAAAATAAGATAAATAATAAAAAATGTTTTAGGGGTCCTTTCTCTGGTTTGTGACCACCAGGTCATTCCCGTTGACGGTTGATTACCTTTGGGGTAAAAAAGCTGGCTGAGAGTTGGTCGAAACATGAGCCTCAGTGGTACACTGGATAGCATGTGAGTCAACGGAAGGGATAACTGCGGGTTCGAAGCTGACCTCGAGTCCAAGTTTTGCAAAAATATCTCAGCTTCATTATGGCTGTATTTCACTTGCCATGGAAAAACCACAGGCAGTAAATAAAAAGTTATCCACTAGTAAGAAGTTTGTTGAAAGGTGAGAGGTTAACATCAATCGCTAATATCAATGCCATAGACATCACTCGTATCACTTGTCTTCATCGGGCCGTTCGTTATAAACTGTTCGGTATACTTCACTCGTTCGAGAAGCATAATGAGTATTACAGGTGTAGTGTGAGGGTCCTTATTCTTGTTCATGGTGAGATGATAACAACAGATGCCCTATCCAGCCCTATTGTAGAATAGGTTTTTTACCTTTAACTCGGCTTTTGGATAAAAATGGCAAACTTCCCTCAAGTTCGGCGACCACCAAGCACCCGTTGTACATTGGAGTTCGATATCCAAAAGCAACTCTCGGCAGTGACTTTGCTGTCGAAAAATGAAAATTGTACAAGATAGTGTTTAGATTGTCCCCAGTCTTCTGAAAGTGTTCGAAAACAGCAGAAGTTATTCTGCCTACATAATACTGTGTGATGTTAGGATTATTGTGGAAGCAATACAAAAGCATTCGCTGACTGGTTAAAAAAATCTCTCCGAGTGTTCAACAAGTCATTGTTTCAAAGCACATCTTTCTTTCCAACACCACCATGCTCCTTTTTTGTTGCACCGGGCCAAGAAAAAAAGAAGAAAAAGAGAAGCGGATAGAGATCCGTTTCTGACTGGTTTTTCGACGCACCTTGCTCGCCATAGTCGCAGCTCGTTTTCTCGTCCATCGCCAAAACTGGCAACAGCCGACGACGACCGACTTCGGCGACGGCAATCTCCGAAAGAGGCAACGACAACAACGAACAGAGAGGCAACTGACGGCGACCGACAGAATGACGACGATGGCTTATAGTGGTGACGACTACGACCAGCTGTGGCGATGACGACAACCTCAACCGTCGCCTGGCTGCGACGACTGAGTTTGCTTGTCGGCCACGGATCGGTGCGTCTCCACTTGAGATGTCCTCACCTTGAAACGGAATCCTCTCCGAAGCTGGCTTGTTGACAACTAACAGTGGTTTCTTGACCATAAATGTAGTCGAGATATGAGATATATGTGGTAGATTTATAGTAGACCTTATCCATCGCCTTAAACGTGAATGCAGACTTGTAAAATATGCTCTCATTTTTTTGCACACAAATGTGTTTTTGCAATGAAAACTTTTGGAAAAAAAAAACTAAAACAAAGTCCATATTTTTGCAAGTGCTACAGTCCTAAAACACAGACGATACAACCACAACGTTGCTGAGATATTTGCAAAACTCTGGACCGCAGGTGTCTATGGTGGGGAACGAACGCGCTATTATCCTTTCCGGGGAGTAACGCGTTCACCACCACACCATGCGGGTCCTTTGTTTCGCACGTGCGAAACGTGCGCACGTGTTTCGCAGCTGAGAGAGTTTTGCAAATATCTCAGCAACGTTGTGGTTGTATTTCGTTTAGTAACCTGCCATGAAAATTATAGAAGGCAGAAAACAAAACGTTAAACACAGACGATACACTTGGAACGGTATGATACACATTGCATCCTGGTGGATCGAATCCCGTCTTCTCACTTGATTTCGTTTTTGAAACGAGAGCTTTGGAGAGAAAAATGGCTGGGAAAATAGGCTTCGTGAGCTCCAGAAAATCAGATTTTTTTGTGACAGAGTCAAAAAACTTATGTGTTGTAAAAAAACTCTGGTGATTGCAGTATTACCAATTAGATTGAACATGTTCACTTATATAATTAATTTAATTTAATTTATATTTAATTTAATTTAAAGTTGAAGGCGGTCATTATTTTGGCACCAAATGAATTGAAATCAATGCGTTGTGTGTTAACGTGAATAGACAATACACATTTGAAATATGAATTTTATAATGATTGGTTTCGCCTCGAGCACTTTTTATCTCTAGCCGTTCTGCGACGGTGATGAATACGTTTTAGTGATCCAAAAGCTCTACACTACATACCTTATGGTAAATATACTCCAAATGAAAAGAATAGTATAAGATACTTGATACTTAATACTTCAATGGCCCGTCCTTACTAGTTGTGCGAGCACTAGCATGATCGCCTTTTTTTTCGGAGATTTGCTGGTTAAGTCATTGTGGTTCACTGGAATCTCGTGGTCAAACTAACCAAAGTCTCCTTCAGGTCTTCAACACAATAGGCAATTGCAGCCCTTGTGGATCAGAGAAAGATTTGCCACCATTCGACCAATTTAATACCAGGACAGTGGTGGATCCTGTAATTGGTTTACTCTTAGTTAGGCTTCCTGATGGAAACATCGGACTAATTTCAGCACGGAGGCCCTGCTAGGGGATGCATCCCTCCGCTGTACATGGCAGCCCGACACCCAGGAACACCTCCCAGCTACGATGAGGCGGTAAACCTTTGGGAGGATACTATGAGATAACGGACCATATTTGAAGGTAATGAAGTGCACTAAATTCGCAAGTAACAGAAGCTACGGACAAGTGGTACTAGGGACAGAAAATTACATCACTTCAACAGAACACTATTGCCAGATAGCGAATCGAATACCAAATGTGCTAACCCGGGAATGTTTGGCTAGATTACGTCAGAAAAAGGTCAAACCGGCTGCTTAGGTTTGTTACTGAACGGCATCTCTATCAATTCGTCATTGCTACACTTTCTCTATAGTACCAAGCTTTTTCCACAAGAAGTAGTTTCAACGAAAACAAAGAGAATTTATGATAACAAACAAAATATTACAACAGGTAAAACCAAAACCCACTTTACGAAAACCAACAAACTGGTACTCTAAAAAAGGAATGGTTCCAAAAAAATAAAATTTTCTGAGCTTACATTTCACTTCTTCACATAATGACAACGATGGTAAAATTAATTATAATGGCTGGCTAGTAAATATTGAGAAAACATGACAGCGAGATAAAATTGAATGTTGGAGATGTGGAAGAATAAAAATATCAATATGGTGCTACTCAACTGCCTCAAGAGGTTAGAAAGAAAGGTAAAAAGGAAACAGCTAACCATACTTTTTGGGTAAGTCGACGAGCCTTAGTCAACCTGAACAAGGAGAACTATGCTAGTATATCCTTCATGTCGGAGCATAGGTCATACTCACGTGAGTTCCGACTTCAACCCGTCATTTTGCTCCTGTTTTCATATCCATATCACTAGCAATAAAAAAAGAAGTGTCAAATAAAATAGAATATTTCAGTGAGATGTCATCCTTCTCTGATTATTTTTTGCCTCTTTTAGCACTACGTATTGGCCAATGTTCTACGGGAGTTGAGCGATTCGATACCCATTGTGAGGCTCGTTCCATCTTCACCCTCAGCCCTAGTGCGACCGCATGGTCATTTATCCTCACACAGCGCGCTACTGTGTTGATGCTTCTTTGTTCGGACGGACATATGGAGTGCAGGAGTAAGGAGTTTTTCTGGTCGACGAGAAGACCTCAAGCAAAAACTCGCACTGCCACACTAAGCCAGACTCGGATAGGCCGTAAAATCCGCGCCATAGAATATAATCACACAATACACTCGCACGTAGCACGAGAGAACTTCACGATAGCATAGTTACGGTAGACATAAAGTATTTCACTACAGAAGAGTACAATTTGCTGTTTCACCAGCGTTGCCCAAGGATCAAATCATTGAAGAAAATTTGAGATCTGATTATTAGCACATTTTTTTCTTTCCTAGTATTTAGAAGCAAGATTGTTGCTAGAGAGATATAGCCCTTATCAAACTCAGAGACGGAGACGTGACTTATCGGTGCTATTCGTTAAGTTTCCTAATGAGTCATAAAAATTATACAATCGAGCAAAATTGGAGATCTATATCCTATATGTAAAAGCTTAGGATTTCTGACGATAGAACATCAAACTGCTTACATCGATGTTCATTTTTCAAAGGCTTCATATTGCTTAGATAACTGTTATGAATGTATCTGTTTTTAAACGATATTAAACAGCTCCTCTTGGAAAAAAAGTCGCTCACGAGTAGTATCCCTAAGCAACTATGCATCTCAGTCTCAACCATTTTTTAGGAATTTGACTTCGAAACATCTTGAGGTCTAGTAGTAAAACCAGTAGAATTGGTTTTTTCCGGGTTTTTCAAAGCTGTACCCCAAGTGCGATTATCGTAGCATTCATAGAACTTTAAAGAATCTCTGGTTAAAGGAGGATAGGCTGAATGACAAACTGCTATTGTCTTTCACTCCCGGTGAACACTGCACAAAGAAAAACTGAACACGTCTTTAAACAAACACGCTAGAAAACAACAATTTAGACGATTGGGAACGTTGATTTGGTCGATGGAAAAATCACCGTGGGATCGAGTCGGGACGATGAAAGAATGGTCGACAACTGGTGTATTCGCGATTAGCGTGTGAATCGCACGCTTCTTTCTATTATGAACGATGAATGTCTAACAGCCCAATCACTTGAACGAGGATTCACGATTCCAAACTGCCATATTGGCACGGTCTGTTATCCATTCAAACCATTAGTTAGTGAACTGCAACTAGAAACGTTGTGCTTGCAACGAATGTCAAAGACATTGCTGTCGATCTCGAAATTGTTGCATTTTTGGACGAGTTTGGCAAGAGCTCACATACAACTTTGAGTATCGTCCTATAACCTTTATTTGTGTATATTTGTGTCTTAATCCATAAGAAGTTTCTAACAAATACTCACAATTCCGTTACTTTTACCGTTACAATGCACAAAATATCCATCGATGTTGTCGACGGTCAGATGAAACTCGTCCGAAATACGTCATTCGGCTGTAATTCCCGCTCCAATAAATCGAACCCATATCATGGCGTGCACAATTCTCTCGCGACTTTTCATAACGCAGAGAGGTGGAAAAAATGTCTAGCAGTTCCTACTCCCGACCGAGGCAACGATAATCACTATCAGACACACGCATACTGAGGACGATTGGCCGACATCTCGTCCCAAAAAGTGCCACTCGGCGGCCGTCACGCGTCACTGATTTCTCACGTGAGTTAGCTGAACTGTCTACAGCCGGCTTGTCCACCTCTTGCCTCCGCCAGCCTACAACCGCCTGCTGTCGTCCCTCAATAAATTAATTTCATATTATGCTTTTTCACCCTTCCACAGTTGCGTGTTCTTGGAGCCCATTTGAGATGCGCATTGAAATGAAGATGCACGATCCGTAGGTCTGCGCAAGTGGCATGACGCACTGGTTTCCTGGGATTATCGTTTCGTTCGGTCCCTTCACGTTTTTTTCCATATCTATCTTTTTCCTATGTTCATAGACACCTCTTGCGTATGATGAAAAAAGATCGTCCATTATCTAACCATGACGTTAGTAGCTTCTGTATGGTTTGTGTGATGATTGAAGTGTATTTCTGTGTCTCCTTTATGGTTTTTATATCCACCTATTCCATTCTACCGACTGAAACAGCCTTTTACAAGCATAGCTGAGAATACCTATCCATGGACTAGGCCCAATATAAAATCTGTGTTCGGCAGGCTATCGATTAACTGAGAAAGGTCATGGAGATGTCACGTAACTAAAAATGTATCTATCTGAAAATATTGTATGTGAAGTAGTTTTGGTCATCTCTGTGTGAAGCAGTTGATACAATTCAAAAAATTCATTACCCTAGCCATTTTCGCGTAGTTGGCCCATCGGAAGGCGTGTCCTTGGAGCACACTTGAGGTGCGCATTGAAATCAAGATGCACGGTCATGAAAGGGTTAAAAGCTATTACTGAGAGTGGTGTGAAGCTTTCTAAGTCTGTCTACGGTTGTCCTTGATTATTCCACATATAATTCCTGCATCTAATCGTCTCCAAACAGTAGTCGCCTTCTCAAAAATGGAAACCTTTTTGATTCGATCACTTGTATTCTTTTAGATCCAGATCCACCTGCCTCTTTTTTTTCGTGTCCATCACCTTTATTCTCTTCAATCAATCGCACTTATTAGTATTTCCATCGAAAGTATGTAATTCTCAATCCTCATGACTTTTGGAGCGTTTTAATTGTTTTTCGCTATGATCGTGCACTATTTTGCATTTAAATTA